TACAGAATCCGCTACTCACCCACACTCACACTGCCATCCCTTTACTGTCATCTCACAGTACAGAATCCCCTACTCACTCACACTCACATTGCCATCCCTTTACTGTCATCTCACAGTACAGAATCCGCTACTCACCCACACTCACACTGTCATCCCTTTATTGTCATCTGACAGTACAGAATCCCCTACTCACCCACACTCACACTGCCATTCCTTTACTGTTATCTCCCAGTACAGAATCCGCTACTCATCCACACTCACACTGCCACCCCTTTACTGTCATCTCACAGTACAGAATCCCCTACTCATCCACACTCACACTGCCATTCCTTTACTGTTATCTCACAGTACAGAATCCGCTACTCATCCACACTCACACTGCCACCCCTTTACTGTCATCTCACAGTACAGAATCCCCTACTCACCCACACTCATACTGCCATCCCTTTACTGTCATCTCACAGTACAGATTCCCCTACTCATCCACACTCACACTGCCATTCCTTTACTGTTATCTCCCAGTACAGAATCCGCTACTCATCCACACTCACACTGTCATCCCGTTACTGTCATCTCACAGTACAGAATACCCTACTCATCCACACACCCCCTCGCTCTCACCTCACAGTACAGAATCCCTTACACAACCACACTCACAGTACAGAATCCCCTACTCATCAACACACCACCACATTCACACTGTCATCCCTTTACTGTCATCTCACAGTACAGAATACCCTACTCATCCACACACCACCACACTCACATCTCACAGTACAGAATCCCTTACACAACCACACTCACATCACTTTACTGTCATCTCACAGTACAGAATCCCCTACACCACCACACTCACACTGTCATCTCACAGTACAGAATCCCTTACACACCCACACTCACACTGCCATCCCTTTACTGCCATCTCACAGTACAGAATCCCCTACTCACCCACCCAACACCACACTCACACTGGTGAAAAACAAGAAGTGAAGAAAAAAACTTTTTTTTTATTCCATGAGATGTGATCACTGAGAAGCGATAAAATGTTTTTCTTAAACCTTTGTTTGGTTCCATATCATGTTACACAGTATATAGATATACGTAACTGCAGTTAGCATAAATATTGAGTATTTTTATTGACTGAATATTCGGACAAGATGATCATACAAAGGGTTAATTTCTGTCACCCGGTACTTTACTCGTTCCTTTGCCTTGTCTAAAACTGATCTTCCCCTTTTGTCAAGTATGGTTGTGATGTCATACTTGCGTCCTGTTGCCTCAAGGTATTCTTTTACCTGAGTTTCACACTCAATGAATATGTTTACATCTGACATATACCTAGCAATGAGATGAAGACAGTGATGTCCGTCCTTATCTACAACTGTGGTAAGTGCTGGGTACGACCGACATAAATGTACACAAAGCTCCCCATGTCCCCACCTGCAGCTTAAATGTAACACTGATCTTCTTAACTTATCTACAACTGTGGTTAGCGCTGGGTACGACTGACACAAATATAAACAAAGATCTTTGTGTCCCCCAAAACAACTCGCATGTAACACTGTCTCCCCCCAATGCTTCACTAACTGAGACATGTACCTAGCACACACACAACTCGTATGTACCACACGACCATCTACTGACTCACACTTCTTTTGTTTTCTACATAAGGATGTAAGCACAGTTCTTTCCACTGTTTGAAATATAAAACAGTTTCCTGTCAGTGCCACAAGATGGAGCGTGCTTTGTCCAACAGTGTCGTGCACCAAGTGAGGATAAGTGTCACACAACATGGTCACCATTTCTTCTCTCTCAAACAAACACGCCTCCTGAAGGACATTGATATTGTAAGCAATGTGTGAAGATTGCGACCTTCCTGCCCTTGCATTTGGAGTGACGTCATATTCCAGTAGTTTACGTAACACATTCAAACTCCCCCTCTTCACCACGTAAAATGGTGTCTTCTTATCAGGTTTTACACCCTCGGACAAGAGGTATAAAACACACTCTTCAGCACCAGAGGAGCATGCTTCATTCAACAGGGCGAGTTTTATCTGGTGGCATAATTTTTTGTCAACATTCTGATCACTTAGCCATCTGATGAATCCCTGCAGAAACTGAGTATCTGTCCAAACATCTAATGAAGTTATTTGCTGATATTTTATATCAAACCAGTAACTTTGAGAGACAGAATAGTCCGATTCAAACTCTTTGACTAAACGTTTAAACATGGTATTGTACTGATTATTTGACGATAAACGTATCCTGTTTGGAATTGGTGGAGATGTAGTTAGAAAACTGAGGAATTTTCTGGGACAGTTCTGTATGTAGCCTAAGGGAGTTTTTTCTCCATACAAAAGTGCCACTGTTTCCTCAATGGAGTCATGGTTGAATTTGTAACAAAATCCTTGTTTTTGGATAGGCTCTTTTTTCACCAGCCAACCCAACAGACAATTCAAGGACTCCTTTACAAATTCTACTTTCCTCTCCTTATTGTATAAAAGCTCAACTGTTGGGGTAACTTTGACTATATCAACAGCAAATGCTTCTTCTAGTAAATTTTTATCAAAATTTTCATTGTGATGGTCTAAATCTTCTTCCTTAACTTCACCTCCATTCAGAAACAGATACATCAGACTATAACATTTTCCGTCTTCCAATTTAGATAAGAAAGATTTCATGAAACAAAAAGGCCTTCTAAAAAAATTGACCCTCTCTGTGTGCAAAGAAGGTGCATCTCTGAACAACGAGCAACATTGTGGAAAACCAGTATCTGGTGCACACATGACAATTTCTTTTTCTTCATTATCTGTCCATGAAACAAAATTATCTTTTGGTTCATATGACTTTAACATTTCCAGTTTTTCTCTTGCATCTATGCCGAGTTCCACAATGTTTTTTTTAGTAAGAACTGTTTCTGAAAAAGGACCATTTAAAGAACTCAAAATTCCACTGCGACTTGCAATGATCAGAAAATTGCCTTCTGTGTGCTCATTGCCAAACAGTTTTGAAAAAATGGAATTTTCTCTTTGCTTCCATTCTTCCACATCTTGTTTGTGCACAACATTTTTTCCAAAGATGTCATCTAAATAAATAACTAAGTGTGACGTTGGCAACACTAAATCCAAGTCTTTGATATTGTGCAGTTCTAGAGGATGTCGTCGTCGTCGTCGTCGTCGCTGCTGCTGCTGCTGCTGTCCCTCCTCCACATCACGGCACAGCAAATGGAGAAGTTCAAATGCAATGGATGTCTTCCCTTCTCCTGCGTTTCCTTCGATAACAACGACCCTGTTCTTCATGAGTTTCTCATGAGCATCCTGGAAACTTTTGGTAGGAACAAACGTGTAATTTTCTTTTTCTTTTATTATCCTAGCTTCTGTTGTTTCTGCAAGGTAAAAATGAACCATGTCTAGTAAGGGCAAACAACAGAGTTAGCTAGAACTGTTGGCAGAATGACAGACTTTTCAACCCACCCCCGACCACGACCCCTGTAAGAAGAACTATAGGAATAGATCTTTGCAAAATATGTTTGAATAATGATTAAGTAATGATTTGCTTACTTACCAAGCTGTACACCTATCTTAGGATATACTGCACAGTCATCCTGCCAAGACATACTTGCATACCAGATTTGGTTACTCAAGGTGAAACAGTAAAGAAGATACACCCCAGACACACTTTTTCAAACGCTGATGTCAAAGGTAAAACAATAGGTCACACTGACCTACTTTTTGTACTTGACACTCCATCACCCCAAAGTGTACTTGCATATATGTCCTGAACACATTTTTCCAAAGGCTGAGGTCAAACCATATAAGTCACAGTGACCTACATTTTGTACTTGACAATCCGCCATCCCAAAATGAACTTACAGGTATACTAAATCTGGTTATCCCCAGTGAAATAGCTAGTTTAGAAGATATGCCCTGGACACCTTTTTTCAAAAGGTGAGGTCAAACCATAGGTCACAATGACCTCTTTTTGCACTTGACACTCCACCCTCCCGAGATAAACTTGTATACCAAATCTTGGTACTCCAGGTGGATCAGTATAGAAAATATGCCCCAGACAAATATTTCCAAAGGTTGAGGTCATCGGTCAAACCATAGGTAACAATGACATTCTTCTCTGTGCTCCCATAATGTACATGTACCTACACAACAAATTTAGTTACTCGTGTTAAAATAGTGTAGAAGAAATGCTCAACAGCAGACAAAATTCTGTCTTTCTTTCTTAACAAGAAATCCCAGAGAGATCTTGGCACCCACCATTAAATATTAGAAATATCTCACATAAGTACTTCCTGTGGCCATCTTGGGTTTTTTTATCACTCTTCAAAGTGCACTTGTACAACTACAGACCAAGGAGAACCTCATAAACTGTACATATCAAATTTGAGAAAGATCCTTCCAAAACTTCCTGAGAAATAGCGATAACAAACATTCACTGTCAAAATCAAAAATGGTGGCCTTTTGGCCATTTTGCTTTTCTGATGAGTCTCAAAATGTCTCAAACATGCACAACTATAGACCAAAGGGAACCTTCATTTCAAATTTGAGAAAGATCCTTTCTAGAACTTCCTTGGAAATAGCGATAACAGACATTCACTGTCAAAATCAAAGGCAAACAACTTCAGTGTGTGTTGACTACATCAGTGGAGTTTCACACATAATGTGGATAAAAACTGTTGGAGGAGTTGTCTACAGATCTAGATGGACAGACGGACGAAAGGACAGATAGACAACCTGAGTATACCACACACACGAAAGGACAGATAGACAACCTGAGTTTACCACACACACACACCCTGCCAACTTCATTTCGGGGGATATAGATAGCATACATTGAAGATTGTTCCACGGAGATCAGGAAATATATATTTGACATTGTCAAGACAACTGAAAGTATTTATGCTATCTGTTTGACACCTTACTTGCAAAGTTGCATTTTTTGCATAACTGCAACGCAGCAGCCAAAGCAATTAATTTAGTTTTATTCAAATATGGATAATAAGGCATTACAAGATATTTTCAAAACTATGGGAAAACAAGAGATCCCAGAGTTAGTTCTTTGTCAGTTTGATCTTTTCTCTTTTTTTCTCTTATCTGTTTCATCGAGTCATGTTAACACTTACAAACCTTCAATGTCAAAAATCAAAGTTGGCGGCCGTCTGTCGGCCATTTTGTTTATCTGATCAGTCTAAGGTGAAACATGAACAATAAAGGACGGTGGGAAACCTACATAACCAATATGAGAAAGTTCCCTTCAGTACTTCCTAGGAAATAGCACTAACCCATTTTGTTCATCCGATCAGTCTCAAAAGTAAACATACACAACTACAGACAAAGGGGAACCAAACCATCAAATTTGAGAGAAAGATCCCTCTAAAACTTAATGAGAAATAGCAATAAAAAACATTGATTGTTAAAATCCAAGATGGCTGCCTTTTGGCCATTTTGTTTATCTGATCAGTCTCAAAAGTAAATATGCACAACTAAAGAGACTAAGGGGAACCTATACACAATATTTGGGAAGATCCTTCCATAACTTCATGAGAAATAGCAATAACAAACATTCACTTATATAATCCAAGATGGCCGCCTTTCGGCCTTTTTGTCTATCGGATCAATCTTAAAAGTAAACATGCACCACTACAGACCAAGGGGAACCTTCATATAAAATAAGAGAAAGATCTCAGCTTGGCAACACAAAACTTTAATAGCAAGACCAATTGGCAACGCAGAGTTTTTCCTTTATGTGAGCCCTGAGATACAGTATGTATCTGAAAAGTACAATTTACCACCAAAATGAAACCAGCAGAAGACCTAGAAGTAATATTCTACAATGTCTCGGCCAATCAGAAGGCATGGCAGCCATATTGAATTATGGTATCTGGATGTTACATCTTTATTCATCATGAAGACTGCTAAGTATCATTTACATTTGTATCACTAAGTCCAGTACTAGTGGTTACACTCATTTACACTCTCTGCACCCCTTGAGTCTGTCACAGCGAAATTTGAAGCACGAAGATAACTATTTGATTGGTCTCAGGTATAAAAAAAACCTGGCCATTCGCTAGGCTGATACCTGTCTTTTGTAGATTATAGTGGATTGACACTCGACTTCAAAGCCAGTCACCTTCACGGTAACACGACCTTGAGATTCTATTTATATACATCACAGGATCAAAGTGGCTATAGCATTCTTGTCTCATCCATAAGGTGGCTCACACTGAGTCTTCAATGTTATCATGACAGGGGTTCAGAGAGAGTAAGTTTCCCCTGGAGTATTCAGGATGTACCAAGTATAAACACAATAGTACCAATAGAATAAAATTTGCAACAGATCCTGGATTCTGGAATCAATGAAATAGTATGGCATTGAAGTAGGATATCCACCATGTTACATGTACAATCACACCACACAATGCCAATTCAGAAAGGGCTACATAATGTAGTTTTGAGGTTTTATTTCTGGTACATACCACCAACCTTTGACCAGGTTTTATTTCTGGTACATACCACCAACCTTTGACCAATGTAATTCTTTTCACACTGAAAATCCACATGGCTGTGCAGGTTCACACTGAAAATCCACATGGCTGTGCAGGTGACCATTCCTTTTCACGTCCGATTTTGGAATCGAACCCTGGCTCCCCTGATGAAAAGGTGAGTGCATTATCCATTGCACCACCTGACCACCCAGTTATTGTTATATACAAATTAAACTAGAACACTGACAGGTCAGCAAGCTAAGGGCTCCGCTGTGTGACTGACTATACATCCCCCAAGCAAAAGCTACATTGACCATCTTAGACTTTGGGAAATAGGTCATGGCGTTATTAACTAAGATGATCTGTATCATTTGCAACAATACAAATTAGTTTGGTTTGGTTTTATTTTGTTTTTATAATGTCCTATTAACAGCTAAGGTCATTTAAGGTAAATTTTAACATTAAAATATGTGCCTTCATGTGTGATGTGCAGGCATGTATGTGTGTATGTGTGCTGGAAACAGGGTATGTCGGTCAATATACACAATGCCACAAAATTAAAAGTATGAACAAAACTGTGCCACTAGATCAGAAGATATAGCCATATTTATAAAGTAAAACACTAAGAGAAAAACCATTTTTGTTTAGCATTTCATCTGAAAAAATTAACTGTTGTCCACAGTGTAAACATGGCCATATACAATGTGATTTTGATAGTATATCACCTGTTCTATTTTTAGTATCAGTGACCTTTATCTTGACATTAGGTTTTTTAAAACCTCTATTGAATATCTGCATCACAATTAATGTATAACCATGTGAAATATAAGAAATTTTGGCCTTCTGGTTCCTGAGATATTCTTTAAGTGCTAACCGTCAAACAGATAGACAGACAGACTGACAGAAGACAGACAGACAGACAAATGGGCAGCTGATCATTGGACAGCATGATTACTAATTGCATATGCTGACCCCCTATTAATTCTGACCAACTTCATAATGTTATAAGACAAGAGGCCCAATGGGCCTGCATCACTCACCTGGTATAAATCTCACACTTGTAATCTTAAAAGTGGACTAAAATACAGCTACAGGCAGAATATCAGTGTTTGATTCATAAGAACCGATTAAAAGATTTAAACATATGACCTTGAATGTCGAACAAGGACATCAGGTTGAAAGTGGATCAAAGTCATTCATTTGAACAAACTTTGTAGTCATTCATCCCAGCATGCTACAGGCCTAATTTCAGTACCCTGGGCCTTTTGGTTATTGAGAAGTTGTTTGAAGATTTTAAGACATTCAACCCCTGTGACCTTGAAAATTGGTCAAGGTCATTCATTTTAACAACCTTGGTAGCCCTTCACCCCATCATGCTACAGGCCAAATATCAGTGGACCTTTTGGTTATTGAGAAGAAGTCGTTTGAAGATTTTACGACATTTGACCCCTTTGACCTTGAAAGTTGGTCAAGGTCATTCATTTTAACAAACTTCATAGCCCTTCATCCCAGCATGCTACAGGCCTAATATCAGTACCCTGGGTCTTTTGGTTATTGAGAAGAAGTCGTTTGAAGATTTTACGACATTTGACTCCTTTGACCTTGAAAGTTGGTCAAGGTCATTCATTTGAACAAACTTGGTAGCCCTTCATCCCAGCATGCTACAGGTCCAGTATCAGTACCCTGGACCCTTTTGGTTATTGAGAAGAAGTTGTTTGAAGATTTTAAGACATCTGACCCCAGTGACCTTGAAAGTGAGTCAAGATCATTCATTTGAACAAAATTGGTAGCCCTTCATCCCATCATGCTACAGGTCCAGTATCAGTACCCTGGACCCTTTTGGTTATTGAGAAAAAGTTGTTTGAAGATTTTAACATATTTGACCCCTGTGACCTTGAAAGTGGGTCAACGTCATTTATTTGAACAAACTTTGTAGCCCTCATCCCAGCATGCTACAGGCCTAATATCAGAACCCTGGGGCTTTTGATTATTGAGAAGTAGTCGTTTGAAGATTTTAACATATTTGACCCGTGTGACCTTGAAAGTGGGTCAAGGTCATTCATTTGAACAAAATTGGTAGCCCTTCATCCCATCATGCTACAGGTCTAGTATCAGTACCTTGGACGCTTTTGGTTATTGAGAAAAAGTTGTTTGAAGATTTTAACATCTTTGACCCCTGTGACCTTGAAAGAGGGTTAAGGTCATTTATTTGAACAAACTTGGTAGCCCTTGATCCCAGCATGCTACTGGCCAAATATCATCATCATATGCCTTTTGGTTACAGAAAAGAAGTTGTTTAAAGTAAAAAGTTGACGCCGGACAGACGGACGACGGACCATGGCATAAGCTCACATGCCCTTGAGCTAAAAATGTTTACCAGTTAAGATTGACAAAATTTGACCCAGACCTTTGATCAGATGACCTTGACCTTTGGTAAGTTGACTTTTTGTTTGATTATCACCAAGTTTGTTTTCTCAATTTCATACCAAATTCTTTATCAAAATCTGGCCTTTAAGGGTCATACAATACAGTATACCCAATTTGCTCTATTTTTAGTAACAGCTACCTTGACTTTGACCTGATAAAATTGTGAAAGCCCCTTTGCAAATCTACATATCACAGTATATATAAAGCACACCATGTGAAGTTTTAGAAATTTCAGCCTTTTCGAGTCCGAGATAATCTCTGCAAACGAAAGTGCTGCCAGACAGGCGGACACTGTGATTACTATACTAGGGCCCTACTTGTTTCACATTCCCTTTAACATCTGAACCTTATTATCGAACTACTTCATCAGCTGCTGTCCCTGAATATCAGTTTAGTTTATATACAGGGTTTGAAGCATCTCTCCTTCACCAAGTAGAAAAATATCTTCATCCAACCCTGATCAGCAAACTCACCTATCATTGCTGCCAGCTTAAAGCCATATGCTGAAAAATACAAGGATAAGTCTCTTCGTTATTTCATAAAATGCTGATTCAGAACTAGAGTATAAATAGAATCATCCTTTTTTTTTAACTTTATGGCAAAAATTTTAACAGTTTAAAAGTGATACAACAGTCATTACCTATCGATCTCCAATAGCCCATTAAAAATAAATACAAAAAACAGCTGCAAAGCATTGCTCGCCTATTGGTCATATATGTTGTAAGATAGCAAATATTAATAGAAACACAAGTACAGTAAAACCTTGATATAATGCCCGTCATTTCATAAGAGTTTTTCCTAAGAATTCCTTTAAACGTTTCCCTCAATTTATTGCCAAACCCCTTTATAACGCCAGTATTTCTTTGAACAAATGGTGGCAATATAAAAAGGTTTTGTTGTACCTGAACATGTCGTTTATTTGAATAGAAGAGATGATCAGACAACGTGAAATAGCCAACAGTGTATTGATGGTAGTGACCGATCCAACACTGCACAAAACAAGAGGCCCATGGGCCTAAACGGTCACCTGAGTCTACAGTATTTATTTTTGTTGTTGAAATATGTACCAATTTGAGTAAAAAATAGTATAATGTTAACTTAACTTTGTCAGGACCATGAGCTGATCATTCCTAGACCAATTTTAAGTGAGATCGGCCTATTAGAACTTAGTAGCAAAATAGCGGCCATGGCAGCCAAATTGTATTTCTGATTGACCCGAAAAATAACAACACTTTGTCAGGACCATGATTCGATCATTCCTACAAAGTTTCAGTTCAATCGGCCAAGTAGATCTTTACTTTAAGTTTGAAATAGTTTTCCAAAATGGCAGCTGTGGTGGCCATATTGGATTTCTGATCGACCTGAAAAATAACAACACTTTGTCAGGACCATGAGTCAATCATTCCTACAAAGTTTCAGTTCAATCGGCCTAGCAGAACTTGACTTTAAGTTTGAAATATGTTTTCAAAATGGTGGCCGTGGCGGCCATATTGGATTTATGATTGACCTGAAAAATAACAACACTTTGTCAGGACCATGAGTCGATCATTCCTACAAACTTTAAGTTCAATCGGTCCAGCAGAACTTGACTTTAAGTTTGAAATAGGTTTTCAAAATGGCGGCCGTGGTGGCCATATTGGATTTCTGATCGACCCAAAAAATAACAACACTTTGTCAGGACCATGAGGCGATCATTCCTACCAACTTTCAGTTCAATCGGTCCAGCAGAACTTGACTTTAAGTTTGAAATAGGTTTTCAAAATGGTGGCCGTGGCGGCCATATTGGATTTCTGATCGACCCGAAAAATAACAACACTTTGTCAGGACCATGAGGCGATCATTCCTACCAACTTTCAGTTCAATCGGTCCAGCAGAACTTGACTTTAAGTTTGAAATAGGTTTTCAAAATGGCGGCCGTGGCGGCCATATTGGATTTCTGATCGACCCGAAAAATAACAACACTTTGTCAGGACCATGAGGCGATCATTCCTACCAACTTTCAGTTCAATCGGCCCAGCAGAACTTGACTTTAAGTTTGAAATGTAAAATGTTAACGGACGACGGACGACGGACGACGACGGACGAAAACGGATAGCAATAGGTCACTTGAGCTAAAGCTCAGGTGACCTAAAAACCTTGCCCAAAAACTTTAACCTCAAGCTTTCCCAAAAACTTTAACCAAGTCCAATTAAGCTGTTTTGGCCCCTAAAATATGAAAATATGGTTCAGCACATTGCGTACATTCCATATATATATATACTTCAACCTTATAATAGACAACAGCCTATTGTTGTTGGTGATCCAACACTTCACAAAAAAACTTGCCCAAAAACTTAAACCCTCAAGCTTTCCCAAAAACATTAACTAAGTCCAATTAAAGTCATTGGAGTGTATTATTATAAACGGAAACAGGAAATACATCCCTAGTTGAAAATCCAATGTAGGGAGACAGTATCACAATTTCCGCAAATTCTAATGTTTAATATTAAACTGATGAATATTGAATGTTTATTATTGACTGAACAGTACAAGTGTGTTCTCTCAATATTAAAAGTATTTCAAATCAATCCAGGCATTATTCAGGGTGTTTTTTATCAATGAGTCACATGTTTCCATTTTTCTGTACTTCAGGAAACCGGCTACCTATTTCACTACTGTGAAGTTTTTCCAGAACGATAACTCTTACCTGCAGTTATTATGTGTATATGGTTTTATTATAAATTTGTCAATTTTTATATCGTGTATAGAGAATTAATTTTACACAATTTCAGCATTTATTAAATTGATATACATTAATGCAATACTAATATATGTCAGTATCATTTTTATTGACATTATTTTGTAAAATTATTGCGTCTTTCATTTTTTTTCAAAATTCACTCCTTTCTACATAAATATCCATTTAAAATCCTTAAAATTCTGACAACCTATATTTTTGTGGTGGCAGAAAATTTCCTTTACTTTAAAGCAATATAACTACAAAATTTAAGAAATTCGACTGAGAAATGGTGACACAATCCTATTACCTTAAGCTGTTTTTTGGCCCTAAAATATGGAAATATGGTTCAGCACATTGCTTACACTCCATATAAATGCCTCAACCTTATAATAGACAAGAGTGTATTGAGTGTAATGATCCAACACTGTATTAAGAAAATTTGCCTAAAAACTTTGACCTCGATGAACTGGCCACTGGGATGCTGAAATCTGTAATTTACTTTACAAGAAATAGCTATTTCAAAGTTCATCAGCGACACTCGAGATGTCTGCCTTGCCATTGTGTGCATTATTTCAATTCGTCTCAAGATTGAATATTAAATACTAAAGTCCAACAATGTGTTTTTTTTAATTTGTTAAACATTTATCTTTATCCCTGTCTTATTGGGTCTTACACCCTTCTGCCCAAAAGGGTCGAGACAAAATGAAAATCATTCTTCAAATTGGACTGCATACAAAGATTGTAATTGTTTACCTGGATTCACCCTATTAGGTTCCATTCCTCTAGATCTTGTCCCTTGGGAGGCCTCAGCATCCATTTATACACGGTTGGGTTCTATCATCCAAAGGAAACTCCCCAGACCAAAATGCTTCCTAGCCTATAATAAAGAAGTAAAGGTTATAATAATTGACTTTTTTCTCCCTTGGGCCCAGCTCCTCTGTCCAGGGACAGGTCCACATCCTCCATTTATACAACAATGTTGAGTCTAGATCTCCTTTGCTCAAGATAGCTCCAGAGTAATATTTAGGTTAAAATAATTTCAGTTATATTCGATGGAGCCCTGCTTCTCTGCCCCCC